TATAATCCATCAACCTACAGTACAAATCAGAAGAGGCACATAGAGGAGACTACAATGGGATCAATACAGAGGAGAGGGATGGTCTTGGTTCACCTGGGAGACGCCAAGAAACGAATGCAACAGAGGGGGCACCACGGTCACAACCGTCGGAGCCAGCCGCGGCGGCGCAGCGCACACCAGGGATCGTCGTCGGCAGATCCGAGCCCACCGTGGGGTGCAGCCCGGGGCCGCGGCCGCGTCGGTGCGCCGTCGTGGCAGGGGGCGGCCACCGCCCGCGCGTCGCCGGCCCCCCGCGCCGCTGGCCGTCACGCGTCTTGGGGAGAGAGAGGCCGCACCACTGCGCAGCCCGTGTTGGGCCTAGGTCCGTGCCTGAGCGGCCGCGGTCGTCGGGAGAGAGAAAGAGAGAGTACGCGAGGGTGGGAGAGGGAGCGGCGGAGGTGCCGGAGCGCCGCCTCGTGCCGGTCACACGCAGCGCGGGGAGCCGGCCGCGCCGCCCGCTGCCGCATCGGGAGGGAAGGAGAGAGAGAAGGGGAGGGAGAAACGGAGATGAGAGGTAGGAGAGGGAGGGAGGGAGGAGGAGGTGGTGGAGGAGGAGGAGCATGGCCGCCGCCGTGCCGCTCGCCCCGGCGCCGTCGCCCATAGCGTCGGGAGAATGAGGGAGAGAGAGCGAAGAGCGAGAGGAGGGGGTGAGAAGAAGAATCTAGAATGAGAAGCTGAAGCTGTTGTATATATTTGACTGTCCGGATTCTGACGAGAAGTGGGAGAAGCAGAGGAGAAATCAGAGAAGCTAACCAGAAGCAGGAGAAGCGGGTGCAGGCGAGAATCCACTTCGAGCGATCTGGGCCGTCAAACGCGAGATCGGACAGTCATGGGAATTTAGAGCGACATGGATAGGGCTTGTGCGAGAGGAGCTGTCGCTCTCTGTAGTTTTTTTTTAAAAAAAATCCACGGATTGTCTCCGCCTTAGAAAGATTCCCCGGACCCTACCCATTCCAGCAGAAACAACGGGCGCCAACACCGGCCGTAACCCCACACAGCACATTGACACTTTGCACTTGCGACCTGTCTCTCGATTATCCTCGAACCCAACAGCACACTAATACAGTAATACGGGGGTAGTATATGTTAATTTAATCGCACCCTGTAGTACATTGCATCTGACACGTACGAGGTACGACAGTACTGCACAGCACATGCTCCCCCCCCCCCCCCCTCATCGTCTTGTTTTCCTCTAGTAGGCCGTACGTTACCAATTTAAAATTTGAAAGTCTGACTAAATCTAAAATTAGATGCTTTCTGGGGTAGCTGTACGAACTGGTCACCCTTCAGGTAGGAGCAGAATAATGTTATAGTCAATCTGTAAGAAAGTGCGGTAACCATATGATGCATATCTTTTCTTTAAAACCCCCTGGTTTGTTGACCACGACATATCTGTTTTCAGAGAATACCATTTGCAGCCATGTATAATTACTGCAAGCACAACTTTTACCGTGCATGGTATTTACTGATGAAACATCAATTCTAGACTTCTAGCTCTTGATTGATGCATCATGCATAAGAGACTTGTGAAATTGACAGTTCAAATGCTTACACTGGAGTGCCACAACAGATGACATCCATTTATAGTAACCAAAAGTCCAAAACCCTTTCTACCTTTGGTAAATATTCCATGTTTCCTGAAAGCCTAATAAGACATGCTCTTGTGGTAAGAGAGAAAGAGGAAGATAATATTCATTCTGAACCTTTTGCTAAGGTATTATGTTCTTTGTTCATATATCGCAGGCTGTGGTGAACAACTTGGAAGATGCGCATGAACAGATCGATACTGCCATCTCCACGGCAATAAAGGAGAGCAAGCCTGTTTACATTAGCATCAGCTGCAACCTCCCTTCGATCCCACATCCCACCTTCAGCCGTCATCCTGTCCCTTTCTTCCTCTCCCAAGGTATATTTCCCCAAGGCAAAGTGATGAACAGTTTGGCATTGCTCATGCTGATAAACCTGTTCATTTTGCAGGCTATCGAACCAGATGAACCTGGAGGTAGCAGTGGAAGCCGCTGTGGCTTTCTTGAACAAAGCTGTCAAGCCAGTGCTTGTAGGTGGACCAAAGATGAGGGTGTCCAAAGCATGCAAAGCCTTTGTAGAGCTGGCAGATGCCTGCGGCTGTCCCGTCGCGGTGATGCCTTCCGCAAAGGGGCTAGTGCCAGAACACCACTCTAGGTTCATTGGCACGTACTGGGCGCGCTGTGAGCACTCCATTCTGTGCCGAAATTGTAGAGTCTGCTGATGCCTATCTATTTGCTGGTCCCATATTCAACGACTACAGCTCGGTTGGATACTCACTGCTCATCAGGAAGGAGAAGGCCATCATTGTCCAACCAGAGAGGGTGGTGATCGGGCATGGCCCTGCGTTTGGGTGTGTTCTGATGAAGGATTTCCTGCATGCCCTTGCAACCCGTCTGAAGAAGAACACTGCTGCGTATGAGAACTTTCGTCGCATTTGTGTACCTCCGGGCGAGCCACTCTCATCTGAACCTGGAGAGCCATTGAGAGTGAACATACTCTTCAAGCATATTCAGGCAATGCTGTCTGGCAACACGGCTATCATTGCAGAGACTGGGGACTCGTGGTTTAACTGCCAGAAGCTGAAGCTACCAGAAGGCTGTGGGTAAGCTCCTCTTAGAATCACGATTTGGCTGTGAAATTTTGTAGTGATACAAAATTCATCTGTCATTTTCTTCTGTACTGTAGGTTGGTGGGTGGTAAGTGGTACCGCTGATTTAGGCCAAGTAAGATAAAAATCTGATGGATGTTGTTCTGATTCTTTTACACCACTAGATATTGAATGTTGTCAACCTCTTTACCACAATAAAGAAATATTTCATATTATATAGTAGTGATATCAAACTTTGGTTCAGCATGTTGAGATGCTTTCAGTCATCGAGTTAGTAATCAGGAGTAATTTGCTTTCACCAGGTACGAATTCCAGATGCAGTATGGATCAATTGGCTGGGCAGTGGGTGCAACTCTAGGATATGCACAGGCTGCTAAGGATAAACGTGTCATTGCCTGCATTGGAGATGGCAGCTTTCAGGTATGATACCAAACGATGGAAGTTCTTACATTTTCTATATCAATTCAGTTCCTTGAACATATGTGGCAAGAGTTTAATTTGATTGTAATTCAGGTGATGGCACAAGAAGTGTCAACGATGCTCCGATGGGGGCAGAACACCATCATCTTTCTGATAAACAATGGAGGGTACACAATCGAGGTGGAGATTCACGATGGTCCTTATAACGTTATCAAGAACTGGAACTACACTGGTTTGGTGGAAGCATTCCACAATGGCGAGGGGCAAGTGCTACACAGCAAAGGTTCGTAACTGTATGTTGTAGTACTGCAATTCTGTGGTCACGAATGCCACGCTACAACTGACATTATTTCGCATTCTCGCTCGCAGGTTCGAACTGAGGAGGAGCTGAAGGAGGCACTGAAGGCAGCTCTGGGACCTAAGAAGGACTGCTTATGCTTCATTGAGGTCATCGTGCATAAGGATAACACCAGCAGAGAGCTTCTCGAGTGGGGATCTAGGGTTTCTGCGGCAAATAGCCGTCCACCAAATCCTCAGTGAGTGCACCAGGTCTCCTGAGTTCCACTGTAAATCGATCCTCTTTCTGGTGATGTTCATATCAAGAAGTCTGGGGGAGGACATGCTGTCGATTTCTGAATAAACTATCCCTGTAATTCACTGATGTTGCAAGTTCTCGTGGCTACTTCATATAGACGATTTCAGAAACTGATCTTGTATAGTTGTATTGCTGCCAATAAATCTGAAATCAAATTTTGTTGTTCTTCGTTCTGGCCTCTCTTGAAACTTTATAAAATCTCTTCGGTCAGTCCGAAGCCTGTCCTCAACTTCGGTGCGTAAGTTTCAGCCTATTCTCTCCAGTCTGGTCATAAGAGCTCTCTCTCACCAACATCTAAACCTTTTGCAATGGTAAATGGAAGAAAGGAGTTTCAATAAACGAAGGAAATCCGTTTCTCGAGTTAGTCCAACACGTGTACTTCGTATATCTAGCACTCTCTGTTAGCAACTAAGTGCATTGCTCGTTGTAAAGGCCAAAAGGGGTACAACTATTAGGTTAGGCAGTAACCCTTTCCGATTGGGCCCGGCATATAAACAAATTTCTCACGGAAAGTGAAGTCACATCGTTAAGACAGCAAATTCTGGTCTTTGAAAGAAAGCATTTTTTTATGAAATAGGAAGCAATTTTTCTCAACCTATGGGCAGCTGCCCATACTTTTATAAAAAAAGGCGTCGAAGAGTTATGAGCAATTTTGTTTTAAAGAAATTATGAGGAAATTCATGCATGATAAGCCCATTTGCATAGATGAATATTGGTTATGTGAAGTAGATTGCCTCTAGTTCCATGTCTTCAAAGTGAGTAACCTTGTTATTTTTTCCATTATTCTTTGTTATACCATTTTTCTGAAGAACAAATTTGTGCTTCATATTTTTTTTAGGAAGCAGGAGGGGAGGATACCCCCTATTGGAATTGCATTAGTGTAGAAAAAAAACTGAGAGCTCTGGAAACCCCAAATGCTCAGACAATAGATAGAGCAAAAGGTAGAGTATATATATTCTAGACAGGGAGCCAATCAAAACTCAAAAGGTGTCACGGTCTTTCACCCAAACCCTGAAATGGCAAGCCAATCATCTGACTTTGGAGGCAGCATTTCTACATCCACATGCTACAGTCACCCACACTACAGGTCTACAGCACACCCCATGCAAACCCTGGTCCCCGGGCCATTCCCATGTGGTTTTGCAGACTATTTCAGCACTAGCCACAGTTCAGGGTCCAAAATCAAATCACACACAGTAAAAGAAATCCATTTCGGGCACACAAAAAACACAATTAGCACTCACTCTTCATCTGAAGAATCTCCTACCATCTCTTACAGGCTTTAGCAGTTCAGGAACTAGATATAGCATTCTATATGGACATAATCGAGTAATGTGATTCAAGAATCCTCTGCCGCTTGCTCTGAAAGGGTCTACTGCCGTATGCCGTTTCTGGGGAAGCAACCCTGGCTAGCGCCTGCCTGACAGCCTCCTTCAGAGACCTGAGGCTTGCACTTGGACCTGCACTACCACTGCCCCAGCCCTCCTCCTTGCACTTGCACAGCACGAACACATGCCGCGCCCTTCCTCCTAACGAGGTCATGTCCGCCCTCACCGTCCTCAGCCTCAGGCCATGGAACGCCTGGGCCAGCCCGGCGACGAGGTCCGGCCGGTCGTCGCAGCTGATCGAGGCCCTTATGTAGATAACCCTGTCGGCGCCGGTGTTGAGCTCGATGGAGACCTCGTCCGTCTCCGGGGCAGGGTCGTGCTCTGGGTGGTGGCCTCGCTTGCTTCCCTCTTCAGGAGCTTCACTTGCTCTACCACTCTGGCAAGCAAGGTGGCCTTGTCCATCTGCAGTGCAGGGAGAGTGTAAAAGTAAAGCCTTTGCTTAGAAGTCATAGCATTGTACTTTGTCTTGCTAGAGAACTCCAAAGTGAGAGCCTGATGAAATATTGAAATGTGAACAAATGTGAGTGCAAAGGTTCCATTCATGTGGCTTTCTTGCAGACCTCAAACTTGTCCATAAATTATTCCCAAGGAGAGACGTTTGACGCGGCTCTATCTAACACTGAGATTATGGGTGGTGGAAGGATCACACAAAAAGAAGAAACGCTGGTAAAATATGAAAAAAAAAAAGCACACTGTGAAATTGCTCAGGTAGTGTTTCAGAAATCTTGCCAAATGATTCACACAAGTGAACCATTGAGGTGGAAGGATCACACCACAGACCTGCCTGGTATCAGGAATCATGCTCCTGAGCGTAGCCAGATGAGCATTGATCCTCTCCCGGCGCCGCCGCTCGGCCTCGCTGTGGATCTTCAGGGCCCTCGCCTCCGTCGCGCTCCTCCCGGACCCCGACGACGACGACATCTCCGGCGGCGCTACCCTCACGGCCGGTGGAGCCGAGCTTGCCTGCCGGGGCAGAAGAACTGGCCCTCCGAACAATGAAGGATCACAGCCATCGTATGGCTGCAGCTCCTTCCCTTGCAGAGGTTGGCATGCAGCCATTCAACCAAACATCACCTTTGCCTCCCTCACTTGCAGGTTCTTTTCACTGCAACAAGGAGGCCCAACGTGTTGACTGAATATTTGCACCGCATCAACAGAGACTGCAAATTGGAAGAATTGATGCAGCAAGCATAAGGATCGGAATAACAGGAGATGAGATGCAGCAAGAAGATAGAGAGAGAGAGAGAGCTACCTGATGTTGCTTACAATAAGTGGTGCAACAACGTCTTGCCATCTCATTCTCTGGAATGAGTGATATGCATATGCTTGTGTGCGAGATGTGATCATCTTCTTATAATATGAGTGATGATAGATAGGCGTACTGCGGTGTGCAGTGTACTCTGCTTTTTACTGGCCAACCACTCTACATATATACTACTATCTTCGTATTCCTCTCTCCACGTGTTCCCACTAGGAAGATGGATGATGTGTGCATGCATGAGTGTGCCATGAGTAGGATATGAAGAAAAAGCCTGCCTGCCAAATGGAGGGTTTTCAAGAGCCGCCTAACAAGTTTCAGTTCTGGTGACAAGGATGCACATGACTCCAGACTGCAGTCCTATGTTTGGTAACTCAAGTAAAGATTCTTTTCACTGCTGTTAGGTGGAGTGAAAATCTGAAATATGTATGCTTGGAAGTTGGAAAGAAGCAGATGACAAGTCTATTAGTAGTAACCTGCCAAGAACTTCTGAAAGTATGAAAGACAGATCACGAGATTCCTCTTCTGGAATTGGGCGGCCATGGAAGAAAGTCTTCGCAATCCATGGACTAGCGTTCCATGCTCTGCCCCACGAGTGAGAGCGACGCGATTAAATGACTGCTCATGAACTGTACGCTCCGACAGTTTCAGTCTTGGCATTTAGCTGCAGGCAGGCACACTTCGCTCTTGTTTAGTTCGCGAAATTTGGATTTTTGGGCTACTGTAGCACATTCGTTTTTATTTGGCAAATAGTGTTCAAACATGGACTAATTAGGCTCAAAACGTTCGTCTCGCAATTTCCCACCAAACTGTGCAATTAGTTTTTCTTTTCGTCTACATTTAATGCTCCATGCACAGACCGCAAACATTCGATGTGATAGGTACTGTAGCAACTTTTTAGAAATTGGGGTGGAACTAAACAAGGGCTTCCTCGTTTCCACGCTCCTTAACAAGCAACATCCCAGGAGAGGAGAGGCCTCTGTATCCTTTCAGACTGACTGGCTGATTTGCCTAGCTCGTTTTCTGCATATGATTCAGTTTCGAGCTTCACCAATCAATGCTCTCATCAGAAATTCAGAATGCATCGGTTTTGTGTGCTATCAGGATCAGAGAGTCGAAGATAAGCACTGTTTACTCGAACTTATCCCCTGATAAACACTGATCTCTGTCGTCTTTGTGCTGCCTAATTGTTTGTTTGCACCTGAAAACATGTGACACCAGAATTCAGAACCAGCACGGCTTTGAGGCTACTTGCAGAGCATTTTATTTAGACTGTTTAGAGATCTGGCACGGAGCAATTGAAATGGTTTAGCCTTTGACCAGTGAACAAGGATATGGACGAGGACAAAACTGTGCAGGATTTAATAGAGAGGGGCGGTTCCCTCGGACTCCTTCCTTCCCATGGTATACTACGCCAATGCTCTGCATGTGAACCCGCAGGTCGACAAGCTGCCCAAGAAACCGTGGAGACGACTGTTTCAGAGCCGCAAATGACAAACGCCCTTGTATGATTTGTTTGTCCTTGTGTAAGTCTGCGTTTAGGCATCTGAAATTCATGTGTCCTTTTAACGTGGCAACCATTGTCATTAACTGATTCGTGGAGAAATTTAATTTTGTATGCACCCAGGCCACGGTACAGTTTTTTTTCTTTTCACTTTATCCTGTCAAAATCAGAAAACTTTGACTGTTATGACTTCTATAAGATGTTTCTTGTATGACATTAAAAAAACTATACAATCATTTACATACCATTCAAAACTATATCTTACCTTTGTTATCATCAGCTTTTATTTTTTCTTCCCTTATGTGCCACAATTATCAATTTGCATTCACATTATTCTTAAGTGAAAGTGAAAAACACAGTTTTACCCTTAGAACCTATGGAAGTTTTTTTTCCCTAGCCATTCAATCCTTCCATGTCATTGAACTCAGGAACAAATAATATGCATATATTGGTGTCCCTGATTTTGGTTTGCACAACATTCAATATTTGAAAAAAAAATGTAAAATTGATGGCGCTGGCATCAAGGGATGAAAATGTCTAAATGGATGACAACTAAGGAAAGCTATAATTTTCAGTGGCATGCAAGCAGCGGAAAAGTATGATAGCATAGCAACGAGGGGAAGTTATTATAATTTGCAATAGCATAGGAATGATGGGGCTTCGGATGGTATTGAATGAATTTGCTCTTACATCTATATATGCATATGATTTCTCTAGAACATCATCTTAATCTCGTAAATCTATTCTATTTTATACATACTCTATCCGTCCACGAAAGAATGCAACTATGAGATATGTGTCGGTCAAACTAGCTCAACTTTGACCAAGTTTATAGTAAATAGTATTAACATTTATGTCTCTAAATACAATTATTATAAAAATATATTATATGACTAATTTAATGGTATTTATTTTGTAACATGAATGTTAATACTTTTATATATAACTTTAGTTAAAGTTTAAACTGTTTGACTTCTAGAAAAGCGAGATTTGCATTCTTTTGTGGGCCAAGGACTATATTATAATGGAAAATCATGGTTAAAGTCACACCTTGAGAACCTCTATAAAATTGAAAAATAATCAAGTATTTTTATATATAGAACCATTACATGTAAAGTTACGCATCATGCTACTTTGTCTTTATTTGGAGCGGAAGGTGTTCTTTTTTTTATTTCATACAGTGTTTTAGAAAAAAATATCTGATACTGCAATTATGGGGTTCATAATTTTTTCTCGAATACGCAAAATATTTACGCAACTTTGTATTTAAGATCGAGAAATAGTGCATGTTACAACGAAGCGCCACGAACCTGGCACACTAGGAGGGGATTAGTGTTATATAATCGGCTCTGCCCTCCCTAGCAGAAAGAGATCGTGGCTATTACTCGCTAATCATGCTACCTGGCCTTCATTGGCGATCAGGCGCGTTGGCTTGCGTGGCGCCTCGCCCGCCGTCCTTGCTCTCCTTGTGAATCAGATAAATCATTTGAAGCGTAAGAGTTGAGAAAGAAAATGTTCTTTTGCATCTTTTCCAAAGTCGCTCCTTATAGACCTCCGTTCTTCCAACTCCTATATGCTACAAACTTCCTCTGATTTGACTTGTACCCCCACAAATACCAGCATTCAAAATGGCCGGAGTATTCACATATTAGTATTTATCTGCAAGGGTTATTGGTTTGAAGCAATATGGTGCCAAACTGAAGCTGACAGAGATATCCAAGGGTGATATCAATAACTCAGATTTGCTTGTACACAGTGCATGCATATCTATTGATGCCTACTTGTTTGGCTTGTTGAAGCAGCCTTTGTTGCTTAAGTTCAAACAAGGGGACCATGTAATCTCCGACCCATGATCTTTCCGGATCCTTAGGATCTTTTTGACGTTCTCTGTCTATGGCGATGAAAACTGGCGCTGCCTTCTGGACGTGCTAGCTAGAGTCACTTTTCTTTTTTGACATTCTTAACAGAGTTAGTGTTGTTTGAGACTAGTACCTTTTACCATCAATTATTACCGATTTTTTTTAATTTGGTCTTTTTTTGAAAAATATTCACGTTTACATCTTTGGACGACGTAAACTCGACTTTGGACCGGGGGATCGGCACCGAGGTAACATGTCTCGGCACCATAGGTCGTGGCGCCAAGATTTAAACCCTATACCCCGCGCCGTCTAATCTTCTTCTTCTTCTTCTCTCTCTCTCTCTCTCTCTCTCTCTCTCTCTCTCTCTCTCTTTCTCTCTCTCCGTCCCTGGTCCGCCGTCGTCCTCGCATCGCCAGCCGCCTCCCGTTCCGTCCTCCGAGTCGACGCCCGCCCTCCGCCCGCCTCCTCCGCCGCTGCCCGGCGACTGACCCCCGACGCCCTCCCGCCCTCGTCATTGTCCGCGAAAGCACCGGGCGACCCTTAATGCTGCCGTTCTCACTGAAACCTTGGCCCCTGCGGGCTCAAGGGGGCAGGTGAGCCTCCAGACCTTGCTCGGGACACCGCCCTCCCTCCGCCCGCCCGCCCGCACCTCCCCACCGTCCTCCACCAACAACAAGTAAGTTTTTTTTATTTAGTTTTATTTAGTTTAGGTAATTTAGTTATTTAGTTTAATTAGTTAGATAGATAGTTAGGTAATTTAGTTAGCAAATTTAGTTAGAGCTACCAAATGTAGTTAGCAAATCTAATTAGATAGTTAGATAGATAGTCATATAATTAGATAGTTATTTAGTTAGGTAGATAGTTAGGTAATTTAGTTACCAAATTTAGTTAGGTAATTTAGTTAGTTGGCAAATTTAGATAGTTAGATAATGTGGGTAGTTATTTTTGTGTAATATACCCGTAATGACTTCGGTGTTGTGCATACCAACTAGAATGTCAGTTTTGTTGGAATGCAAATGGTGCCTCTAATATTCGATGATCGGCCGTTGCTTAGTGAGCTGTTTGGTAGGGTTTGTGATGAGCTTCATCGCAATTCAAATGAGAATGTCATCTCAGTTGAGGGGTTACTTACTAGGATAAATCAGGCTGATTTTTTTTGAGAATGCATATATAATAAGTCTCTTGCATAGCCATTTCTTGCATTGCAAGAAGCCGGGTGGCCAATCAAGTGGGCCGGGCCGGAGTATCAAAGGTCGAGATGTTTTGAGTTACATGACGTGATTACTTCCAGGCAAGCCCA